ATACGAAGCCAAAGTGAAAGTGTGAAAGTGAAAAAAACTTTAAAGAAAGCGTGCTAATTCTCGTATTTTACTCGTATGTACTCGTATTTTACTCGTATTTTACTCGAATGTACTCGTATTTACTCGTATGTTACCCGTGTGTACTCGTATGTTACTCGTGTGTACTTGTATGTTACTCGTGTGTTACTCGTATGTTACTCGTATGTACTCGTGTGGTGTTTTAGTCACGATCGTTCGATTACTTTTATTTTGACACACCCTGTATAAAATCAACATTCACTCTGGAAGTTATTTATAGCATAATTATTACATATCAGATTTGATTGACAGGCGTATCGATTTCGACCAATGGGAATTTTCCGTTGTGTGGGCAACGGGGATTTCATTTCTTACTGTGTTATCTGCAGTCCCTCCTTTCCTTTCTCGTGCCTGGAAATCTCGTGCCCGGAAATCTAAACCCGCGGAAAGGAGGGACCGCTCGGAGTCTAGGTGGTTATTGGAAGGAAAAATATGTCTAAGTATAATATTTTACAAGAAAATGACCATGTACCACCCCAGGTCAACTGCGAATTATGTATAAAATAACTAATATGCCTGGCAGCAAATAAATTTCCTTATTTCCTAAAAAACAATTATCATGGGATAAAAAAACTATGCTTAATTTAATATAATTATTGTGAATTTCATAAGGATTGTCATTGTTTTCTATAAGTATAATACATTTTATTTCACTTTAACCCCCTGAAATGTCATCCAGTTCTTGTACTTTCGCATAATGATAAATGGCTAAAGAAGATTTCAACCAAGTTTGGTCAAGTTTTGAAGCAGTGCAGTGTATTTTATCTTCGATATTGTGTCCTTCGATAGTTTGTGAAATATGGGGCCATTGCAATGCCTCGCCGCTTCTCTGCCCGATAAATGCCGCTTCTTCGTCTTCGTCTTCGTATGTATTTAGATTACAGTATCCAAGAGTAGTTCATTGTATAATATAGTCCCAGTCGAAAAATTGAAAACATTTAGTTGCACTTGAAAGGAAAAAAGAAAAAAGCTCCCTTAACACTTGTTGTATAAGAATCCAAAAGAAGTAATTTAAAAGTCACGCGCAAGTTCGCGAAAACTTCTCGTGGGCTACATGACATTTTGGATTCTGATACAACAAGTGTTAGGGGAGGTTTTCCTTTCAAATGCAACTAATGTTATCAATTTTCGATTGGGACCATTCTACAATAAAGTACTCTTGGATACTGTAATTTAAATACAAAGGAAGACGAAGAAGTGGCATTTGGAAGAGAAGCGGCGAGCATTGCAATGGCCCCATATTTCACGAAATATCTAAGGACACAATATCGAAGATACAACACACTGCACTGTTTCAAAACTTGATAAAACTTAGTTGAAATCTTCTTTAGCCATTTATCATTATGTAAAAGTACAACAACTGGATGATATTTAGAGACTCGGCGATAAAAGACATAAAAAGTAAACAAGACGGCAAAATTTGGACGTGAGGGATAAGTGAAATAAAATTTATTACATTTAAAGAAAACAATGACAATCCTTATGAAAATTTTTGCCTGGCATATTAGTTATTTTATGCATAATTAGTTGCTGGAGCATTGTGCCAGCAACTATAGGTTTCGGGTGAAATTGGTCTCCTTCTCAGGATAGTCGCAAAATGGAAATTCCCACTGATCTATATACGACGCACTACGTGCATAAATTTTCGCTATTTTAATGGTCTTGAAGTCTTCGTAAGTGCATAAAGTGAACGTCAAATTGTTCTTTCAATCACGTTTTTTCTTCTAGGGTTTTTTTTAAAAGAAATCCATCAATAATATACAGAATTATGTCGACGTTTCATTATCGACGAGTGGAGTAGATTCCGAGGTGGATTCTCATTAACTGTGTTATTTGTTCGTCGAACCATTATTTCTGAACGTTTATATTTTTGTTTTGTGAAGTTTTACAGTACATCTATATATACGCTTATGGCTTATTGTCTTGGTTGCTCCAATAGTCTGAATAAAAATGTTATTTGTTTACATGTATTAGAGCTGTCATATATTTGCATGCTAGCTCTATTTTAGCCTGCGAACAGGCTCACTGGGAGAAAGGTGAGCCTGCACGGAACCATGCGTTTTATTCAATCATCCCCTTTTCGAATCTGCTAAACGCGAACCAATCAGCGTCGACTGCGATAAATAAACTGTCAACTGTCAAATTGACGCAAGGCGTGTACATTGTGCAACGAAGAAACTAGTGAAATAGTGAAACTAGTGAAACTAGTGAAACTAGTGAAACTAGGCACACAATAAAACTAGTGAAATAGGAACACAATTATCCCCGCCAACAAGTATTAAATCGACATAGTGATATATCAAATGCCAAAAAGTCGACTGAAGAATGACAGTCGCAAATAGTTTTGAGACATTTTCACTGTCTTCATTTGACAGTACAAGGCCTGGTTCTACGAAGCTAGGATAGCGAACAAGTCTTTACATTCATTAAACAACATAATCACAAGTTTTTAACTTGCAACTGTTCAGGACTTCATAATAATACGTACCATAACATTGAAATGTACGTAATGACGTTTTGTATAAAACTTTAACTTCTTCTTCTCTAAAGCTGTGATGTCAGGGGGTGGTGTACAAAACTCTTAACTACTTCTTCTTCTCTAAAGTCATCTTCTCTAAAGTCACAGCTTTAGAGAAGAAGTAGTTAAAAGTTTTATACAACCACCCCCTGAAATCACGGCTTTAGAGAAGAAGTAGTTAAGAGTTTTATACACCAATCCCTGACGTCACGGCTTTAGAGAAGAAGTAGTTAAAAGTTTTATACAACCGCCCTCTGAAGTCACGGCTTTAGAGAAGAAGTATTTAAAAGTTTTATACAACCGCCCCCCTGAAGTCATGGCTTTAGAGAAGAAGTGATTAAGAGTTTTTTATACAACTACCCTCTGAAGTTACGGGCTTAGAGAAGAAGCGGTTAAGAGTTTTATACAACCACCCTCTGGAGTCACAGCTAGCTTTAGTTAAGTAGTTAGCCTTGGTGAAGACGTAGTTAAGCGTTTTATCATAGAAATGATAAATGTAAAGTGCGTACTCCTATCGTTTCTGAAAACTGGGGTTTGGGAGAGGCGCTTTGTGTGGGTTTTTTGAGTTTTTTTTTAGGACGGTATGTTCGTGATCAGTCTAATTTCGTGGCTGGGGTTTGTGAATCTCAGGTACCGGTAGTCTACCGTCATGGTGGTCATTGTTGTTTTTTCTCTTCCACGCGTTTCACTTCTTGTGATTCTCGTGTGACTGTGTGATCATGGGATGGAGAGGGTACGGTTTAGGTTCCAGACGTGTTGTATGTTCACATTACCGTAGCCTAGCTCAATCGCATCGCCAAACACGATCGCACCGCCGTGCTACCGTCTCCATCCCTACTGATCGGCAGCGGGCATTACAAGTTAGTCATTCTCGTTCTCCGAGCCTGCGATCCTCGGGAAGGAACGTGAGGCTCTGGGATAATCCGTTGCCGGAAGCAAGGAATCCTGGCTAAGACCGAACTGCGCATTCCATACCAGCGGCCAATCAGATTCTCCCCTGAAACGGATTATCCCACGGGACATGATAGAATTTCGGCTAAACTGTTGAAGGACCCTGCGGATGTAATTACAAAGACGTTGACTCAAATATTTAACAAATCAGTACTTTTAGGTAAATTTCCAGATGATATGAAAGTGGCAATTATTTCTCCTATTTATAAAACCGGAAGTAAAACGGAAACCACGAAGTATAGCTCTCCGTTGTCGCGAAAATTTTTAAAAAAATTATCTCGCAGCAGCTTTCTAATTATTTGGAAACAAATGGAATAATAGTGAACCAGCAATTTGGCTTCAGAAAGAAGCACTCCACACAAACAGCGCTCCTAAATGTTACAAACAAATGGTATTTAAATATGGATAAAGGCTATTTGAATGGGGTTATATTCCTAGACTTAAAGAAAGCATTTGACTGCGTAAATCATAGCATTTTGTTAAAAAAATTACAACTCTATGGTATAAATGGAGTGGCCTATAGCTGGTTTAAATCGTATTTAACAAATCGAACCCAAATGTGTAAGATCGGACAAACTAGGTCGCAACAACATACCATACGTTGTGGAGTACCCCAAGGATCTAATTTGGGCCCACTACTGTTTCTTCTATATATAAACGATCTACCAAATTGTTTATCGTATACATCTGCGAATATGTTCGCAGATGATACTAATATAACAACAAAAGGTTCCAACGTAGAGGACATTCAAACGCGTTTAAATGATGATCTAGAACAGATTCATCAATGGTTATTGGCAAATAAATTGACTTTAAATAAAGATAAAACAGAATACATGATAATTGGTTCGCGACAAAGACTATCAAAGATTGAAACTGACTCTGTAATTGAATTAGGTGAAACAAAAATTAAGCGTGTTAAGTATTCGAAAACGTTAGGCATTATTATAGATGATCAACTTTTGTGGAAAAAACAAGTGGAAACCTCTGTATCCAAGGTGTCTAAAGGTATAGGTATGCTGAAACGAATAAAGAGTTGTGCCCCAAAAAGAACATTGATAAATGTTTACAACGCGATAATACTGCCATATTTTGATTACTGTACTGAGCCTTGTTTGGACTAACTGCAGCGAATATCTGCGCGACAAAATGCAGAAAATACAAAACAGGGCTGCAAGGGTCATCACTGGCAGGCCATATGAAATAGCAACAAAAGAAATATTTGAGGAATTAAATTGGCAACCCTTAGCTGATCGATGGGAGAAAAATAAGTTTGTGTTTATGTATAAAGCGAAAAATAGTGAGCTACCAGAAAGTATGAACCAATTGTTCGAAATCGCTAATAAACAAAACTACAATTTACGCAGCAACGGTAATGATTTTTTTTTACAAAAGCCAAAAACATATTACATGAAAAAAAGTATCAGTTATAATGGAGCATAGCGTGGAAAAATTTGTCAAATAATGCAAAAGCAACAAATATGACAATTGGCCAATTTAAGGCTGCTCTCGACCGCAAATAATACGTGATTTTCTTCTGTAACTATTTTTCTATATTTGATATTTCCTGCATGTTAAGAGGGCCTCTCAGTAAAATCCACCCACTGGTTTGGGGAAGAAAAAATAGATTTAGCTCATATTTTGCATATGAACTAGACTTTGGTCAATATTAATCGAGCTTCTTTCAGACGTTTCAACTTTGTGTTTTATAGGAGTTACAGCCATGTTAAAATTTGACCTTGCGAGAATATTTTCAGACCGGAAATGAAGGGGAATTTTACAAGAATTCATCTGATTTTTTAAAAACGTTGTGATGCGTTTATGCCCTCCAGTTACTGTTCACATGCAAGATTAACACTAATACTCTCGTTTACATGGAGATTGAACAACTTTATTTGCTTAATACGATTTTTTTTATAGTTTTACGAAACTATGTTTTCAAGATGGCGACGAGAGGCTGAAAATTGCTCATATTTTACTTAAAATAGCTCAAAAGTGGCACCTATCTGAAGTTCAAAAGGCATGTCATTTGAAAGTATACCTACTAAAGTTAAGTAATCAGGAATAAAACTCGTCTGCAAGCAATTTTCTGAAAAGTTATAAATCTCCGAATTGGGTCTATTTTTAGCTGTTTGTTTACATTCGCGTGTTCGCTGATCAGCGACACTAGTAATATTAAAAAGTTAAATAAGCTGGTTTATTATCCAGGTTCTAATACACAACATAAAAACATTAAAAATACAACCTTAACCATTCTTGGCTTATTCGCATGAATAATTTCACAACTGTTAATTAAGGTATAATCGGGCAGTACTTTCTGTGCCTGTGGTTGTAGCAAATTTCAAAGCTGTCAGTATCTCTGGCTGTACATAAAAAGTGTTCGGTGCTTTAACTTTTTTATTCAACTTGTCTCGTAATCTTTTTCTGTTCCTGCAAATGGAAATTTTGCCGGAAAGGTCGGATCGGACATTAATTCTTGCAGCATGGATGCAACATATTTTTGTACATAATTGCAGTCAAAATACTACTACAACCTTCCCACTTCCGCTTTTGTAGTCTGTTGTCATTTACTATTTTGTTTTGACTTTTGCATTATTGTAGCGGTTGCCGAACTATGGAGAAATATGGCGATAAAATTTAGTTGTTTTTTATTTTTGTAATATTTTAAATAATTGTAACAAAGGTTGCATTTTTCGTTTGATTCACTGCATATGAACACATAAAAATTTTGAAATTTAACTTATGTCGTCGTATTTCCCTATAATTTGTTAACCGCTACAATAACAGCAATACTGCAGTAAAAGACAGAGATTTTCAAAAAAATAGTTTTTAAAAAAGTTTTAAAAGAGTTTTAAAAAGCAAAAAAGTTTAAAAAGTTAGATTTTTAAAAAAGTTAAAAAAGTTTAAAACGGTTAAAAATATTTGGGTTAGGAGTTAGGGGATTAGTGGTTAGGGGTTAGTACGTGCCGCGAATTTATTATTATGATAAATTCAAAATGTGCTGCGAATTTATCATAATGATAATTTCGGACGTGTTTAAGGATTTACTCATATAGTAAATTCAAAGGTGGAGCTCATGCTGAACTGCAACACTAGCAGCTTTTTGATAGCAGCTCCTATTTTTACTTTGTGCATGCTTGAGTCATGGAAAAGAACTGTTCTTTTGCTGGCCTGGGGAATTTTGCATGTGGAGAAAGCCGGGGAATACAGAAAGTTGCACAAATTGGGGAGTGTAATGCAGACATTTGTACTCACCCCTGCAGTTGTCACCTCACGAGGCTTACCATCAACAAGAGTAGTTATACTTGCCAGAGCAGGGCACTTTTACCTACCCAGGAACAGCTGACAAGCATAACTATCCAGTCTGTTATTAGATCAGTTTCATTTTCAATTGGGTCTATCCTGTCAATATGAGATCAGTGGATAGACTCTATAAAAATGAAGCCAGTAGACAAATTTGGGTAACGTTGTTTACATCGTTGCTACCCAATTCACAGCTTTGGATAACTGACATGCCTAGTTACTATTATTCTAGTTTACAGAAGCATAGACTGAATAGAACAAAAGTAACTAAACATTAAACTTATGTATTATCACTTTTTATTTACTGAGATCGAGGCCGAGGAAAACAGTGTGTTTTGTGGACCAGAGCCACTTATAGATAGTATATAAGTGTTAAAGTATGAATAATTCACCGATTATTGGAGTGAACTTAGCGGCAGATCAAGGCAGGGGCGCCGGAGCCACGGGGCAACTGCCCCCGTTGCCGAAACTTTGCGGGGGCTTCACGGGGGCAACAGCTTGCCCTTTTTCACCAGAACTGCGCTTCGAAATTTGTGCGTTATTAACATGAATTGGAATTTATAACTATTTTCAGCAATCTTTGCTTAATTTTAACCAGTTGTAGTAAAATTAATGCCAGAGGCCGTGGAATTACTTTTGTATAATTGTGATCAAAATCAAACGATTTTTGAAAATATGGAGTTCCTATAAAGACTATAA